GGGGTGGGGTGTGTGGAGCCGGGGCGCCCGGAGCAGACCCAGCCGGCATGGGATGGGGGCGTAGGGGGGAGCTGGGACACGAGGCAGGGTGAGCGCAGATTATGCAGTTCTCCTGTCATCACCACTGTGGTGGGCATGGCTCTGCCCTGGCGAAGCACTTCTCCCCCCCGACCCCCCTCCATTACCCGGCTCTGGAGAGGGGGCGCCCCGCCCCATTGCAGTCGTGATCCAGGGGGTGCCGATGCTTGAGGCAGAAGTTCCCGTGGCACTGGTCACAGATCACCTTCATCATCTCCCTCTGCTTGCAGCCGGGCTTCAGACACTTATTGGTGAAAATCTAACCAGAGACGAGGCACCCGGTGAGCAGCTGCGAGCTCGCAGCACACAGGGCCGTCCCCGACCGGCACGGAGCAGCCCAGCAGCAGCGTCCGGCCCCGCTATGGGGTCACTACGCGGCCGGAGCCCTGGCAACGTACGTTCCAGGAGCTCCAACGCCAGCAGCAAGGCTGGGTCAGACCTCAGGTCTCCGAGTCCCAGTTCCAGCCCCCAGCCACGCTGCTCTCTGGGGAATTCAGCTCTAGCGCCAGGGGTGGCTGGCAGAGACCAAGTGCTGCAGCGCAAAGGGGCTTTGCCAGCTTGTAGATTCACGGGGGTAAGGCCGGAAGAGCTCACTTTGCCCCCCTCATCTGACCTGCGTGGCACAGGCCAGAGCGCCGCAAGCTGGCACTCCCACAGCGAGGACCTGTCCTCTCCTACGCCGTACGGGGCACTACAGAGCCCAACAGCTTGTGGCTGAATTGGGGTGGGTCCAGGCTCCTGTCACGGCCTCCAAGGGACGGTGGTTCCCATGACAAATCGCCCCCCCGGGGGAAAGTTGCTACTTCAAAACGATTCATTTTTCTAACTTTAGCTTCCATTAGATTTTGTGACGCCTCCCTCAGTTCCTCTCACGGCAGCAGCACCCCAGCCCCTGCTGTTCCAGGCCTGGGCTTCCTGCACCCAGCTCTCCTGGTGCCCCCCAATCCCAACCCACAGCCCCCCACAGCTATTCCAGGCCTGGACACTGCCTGCCCCTCTCTCTCCCCATCCTGATTTCCAGCCCCCAGCATTTCCATCCAGACCGTGCTGCACCCTGCTGCTCATGTGATTCGGCCCAATGCCCACTGGGGAGTCAGCTGAGAGCAGCAGACTTGGCTCAACGCGCCCAGCCAGCATCGGCGAGTGCCAACCGGAGACCCCCCATCCAAGCCCCGGAGGCACAGGCCCCTAGGGCCAGGCGGAAGCGAGGTTGCAGCCTCCTACCTTGCGCTTGCGCTGGGCGGGGTCGGATTTGCAGTCTTGGTCGATGTGCTGCCCCACCACCACATCAGGCATCTCCCCCTTTCGGACAGGGATGGGGATGTTGCAGAGGGGGCACACGGGGACCTGCACGTCCTGTAACGCAGCAGAGGCCAGGCTGAACACGCTCCCCAGCCCACCCCAGGCCAGTCTGTGCCGTGCCGTTCCCCCCAGGGGCAGGAGCTGCCTTGCAGATGACGGTTCTCTCGTGGTATTTTCTAACCCTTTGGATTATTTCTGCCTTTGCTAAGCAAGCAGGCCGGGGGCACAGGCACACCCCTGGGAACGCTGGCAGCTTGTGCTCAGGGCCAGGGAAGGAACAGGTGTTAAAGTGCAAAGGACGGTTCTGACCATCCATCCTGAGCCCCTGCACAACACAGGCCACAGAACCGCACCCAGCCACGTGAGCGGAGCTAGGACGGAGCCTGCAGAGCAGCTGCCAGGCTTGGGTTAAAGCCGCTACCCCGTCCCTTGTGAACCACAGCTCAGGCCTGGGCTGCATGGAGGAGTGACACTAAACGCCCAGGGTGTAAAAACCCAGAGCCAAACACCGCAGCCACATCGCCCGAGGGAGCTCCAGCGAGGTCAAGGAAAGAACGCGGCGGGGGGGATGGAAAACCCCTTCCGCTGCTGGACGCTGCCTCTACTCTCTAGGGTCACAGCTACAACGCCACAGCTTTACGGGTCACACCCCCGGCCTGACACCAGCGCCCCCCCGGAGCCCCTCTGCTGAGTGTGGCCTCGCGGGCAGCGCTCTGAGCCAAGCCCGTGGGAATTAGTTCAGCAGAGACGACATGGCCACGTGCATTAGCCCTGCTGTGATCCCTCCATCCCCAAGCGTCGGGGTTCTAGAAACCGTTCAGCTGGCCTGGCAGACGTCGCCACCTCGTGCTCTCCGCCCCACCGCTGGGCTCGGCTGCTGGAGGATCACCACAAGGATTCCAGGGCCGCCCAGTGCCCTTCTGTCACTGGCCATGCTCACCTCACTCTTGGACTAGCCAGACACAGCTATGCCTCAGGCAGCCCCCTGGCTCCACCTGCCCCTCTCGTCCCAGGCTTAACTTGCACATGTGGGGTCTGATCCTGAGGTTTTGCCGGGAGCTGCTCAGCAGGTCTCAGAATGAGGCTGCCAGGTAGTCCCAACTCCGCTGGGAGCACAGTGCTCGGATCCACCCCCAGCCACCGCTCCCCACTTACCTTCTTGTAGGCAGAGGTGCACTGGTGCTGGGTGTAGGTGATGTGGTCGGTGCAGAATATCTGCTCGCACGCGTCGCACTTCAGAGGGAGAAAGTCTGGCAAGACAGGAGAGACAGCAGGCAGGTGAGGGGCCAAGGAGTCGGTGCTTCCCACTGCACAGCCCAGGGGCCAGCCCAGCCACGCCCTGCCTGGGACAGCCAGCCTGCAGGGACACAGGGCTGCAGCAACTGAGCCATTCCAGACTAC